AAAATAGTGCCAGGGAAGGGGCCGCCCCTGCTGCCTTCCAGCTCTGCCCCCCCGGGGTAACAGCAAGGGGTGAGGTCTGTCCAGCTTGTGACTGGAGCAGCCCGCAGCACCAGGAGGTGCCTGGATCTGTGGACCAAATTTCTTGCAAAAATCTTGTTGTTCTAATAAAAGATCACTTCTGTCCATGAGCCCTGATTGCTGGTCCATTTGTGGCAACTGAGAGCATTTAAAAGATAGTCTCATAGCTGTTACGTTTTTTTCATGTAGCACTGCTTTAAAGTTCTTGACTTTCTTTAAAGTTTTGAATGTGTTTTTTTCCCTTCAGTGTGCAGGACGGGTTGGCTGCAGACTTCAGGTCATTAACAAAGACTCTTTATGATTTGCATAAAGTGCTAGGGGCAGATGCAATCCATGGGAGTCCCTTAAAAGAACTGGTGATCGAGAGCTTTGATGAAGAACAGATTTGGCAACAGCTTGAGCTCCAGAATGATGCAGTTCTGGACTATTTCAAAAACGAGGTTGCTAGAAATGTTAAAGACAAAGATCTTTTCCTTATCCCAGTCCAAGAAGAAGATGGTTCGGATGCAGAGATGAGTAGTGAGAAGGAAATGGAACCAGAAGATGGTATGGAAGCAGACCAGATCTTGGATGATGCTGAAGATGAAAGTGAGGTTACAGAAAAGCAAACTAAATCCAGAACATTGAAGAGGCAGCAGTACAGTGATGAGGATTCGGATATTGATTTTGATATTGATGAGCTAGAGGAAGAAACGAAAAAATCAAAGATGACCACTTCGAAAAAAATGGGGGAAAAATCCATAGTGGATGATAAATTTTTCAAGCTGTGGGAGATGGAAGCCTTTTTGGATGATTTAGAGAAGACAGAAAGGCGGGAGATGGAAGAGGATGATGATGATGAGATTAATTATTTTGAAGATATGTATTCGGAGGAAGAGGATGAAGAGGAATCAAAAAAAGATAAAATCAAGGTAAGGGTATTGAAAGCTACTAGGCAAAAAGCTAGTTAAATAAAAATAACTTTTGAATTAAAACTTATTCAAGTTATAAAATACATGCTTTTGTCATGATTAAATACCTAAATGATCTTCAGCTGCCTAAAGGATGTTGAAATATGGCAGTAAGTGTAATTAACAACAGGAATTAGAATAGCAAAGAATATGCTGTTTTCTCCATTACTTGAAATCTTTAAAGATCAGATGCTTCTCCAAAAGAGATGCTGTGTTTAAATCACAAACTGGTAGACTGAAACCAAAAATTTAGCCAAACTTAGCCACATAACAATGAACCCTTGCGGAGTATGAATATTTTTGCTGGGAGTGTGTGTGAACACATAAGAGAGAATTCTAATAGGTTTAGGAGGATCTTCATGCCTCTGCAGCATCTTTATTGAAGTCAATGGGGTTCCATATGATTAGAGATTGAGAGGGGAAGGAAAGCGGTCATGATCTCTGAGGAATGGGGTGTACATCATAGGAATTCAGATTTGGTGGGAGAGGGTCATGGTTTCATAATGCTGTGATTTAATTTAATCAGCAGAGTATTGACTTGGAAAATAACATTTATGCTTTTTGAAGTGATGTTGTTTATAGCTGTTCTATTTTTTTAATGTGCTTGTCATGAGAGAAAGCTAATGAGATGCTTCTAAAAGTGATAGACTTAGGCATCTGAGAGCGATGTATGCTCCCATTATAGAAGAACAAATTAATGTCAACATGTGTGGCTCTTCCCCTTCTGTGCAGTTAAAGCAAGCAAAAATAAAATGTATGTGATAAATATGTAGACCTGACACCGTTCAAGCCATGATCTAGTCTAGTAGCCAAACAGTAGTGAAATGAATTGAATTACCTCTGCAGTTTTTAATAACACTGCTCTTGTAGAATAAAATATTCAGTTAGATCTCTGTCACTGTTGCCAGGTAATCTCTTATTTTACCATTTTCCCAGCCAGTTAAAAGTTCTAGAGACCTGAAATATAAAGATTTCTTTGATTCTGTTGATGGTGGTAATGATGATGACAATCCAGCTCGTGATGATGGTGATGATCAGAATGAGGAAGATGAGACTGAAGACGACATTTCTGAGTATGTATATTTGAATATTTTGTAACTGTCCTGTGGATAGTGACCATTTATTTTTAACTACAGTATAACACGGGGGTGGGCAAAATGTGGCCCACCAGGCCAGTCCATCCAGCCCGCAGGGGCCCTAAAAATTTTAGAAAATTAATATTTATCTGTCCTGGGCTGCCTGTCATGTAGCCCTCAATGGCTTGCCAAAACTCAGTAAGCGGTCCTCTGCCCAAAATAATTGCCTGCCCCTGGTATAACACCATCCCTAACTAAAAAATGCAGGGGTTCATCTAGTACCCAGCCTTTAAGGCTTAAGGAAAGAAGAATTTTTAGGAATCCCTGAAAATGAATTTGTATTTTGTGGCAGTAGATACACGTCTGATGGAGGATATATTGCTTAAAGCGGCATTGTCCAACTTCTGGGCAGTGGGGATTTCACACTGCATGAGCTGCAGGCTCTTAGGTCACATGCAGTATGGGCTGCACACTACAGAGGTGGCCCTACTGGCCTCCCCTTCTCCCTTGTACAGGTGGCCCATTACCTTTTGCTACCCACATGTAGCCCAGCTCCTTTCCCAGTCATGCAGGCAGCCAGACTGCCTCACACTCTCCTGTTACGTGTACTCTGTCCCCAGCCATGCACAGCCTGAGTCCCTGTAGCTGGGGACCCTTCCCCAGGCCACAAATGGACCTCTCACCATGCCACCCTGCCTCCCAGATGGGGCAGGAGGCAGAAGCTAGAGGAGGGAGAGGGAGCCTGGAGACTGGTTGTTGTAGCAGCAGGAGCAATGGGGAAAATGGTGGCTAGATAGGAGCCTATGGGCTGCATTAACTCCTTACAAGCCAAACACAGCCCTCAGTCTGCCATTTGGACAGCTCTGGCTTAAAAAAAAAAAAAGAATTCCCCCACCCCACACCCCACAGTTCTTAAAATACGTTGTCAAAAGCACAAACTGTTTTAATATTATAGGACTGAGGAAGCTAATGAAATGGAAGTAACGGAACAGAATGGGAAAAATAAAGAAGCTTCTAGAAAAGTCACTTTTAACTTGCCAGATGACAATGAAACAGAGGAAGATACTGATATGCTAAATGCAAAGAGAGATGATTCCATTGCAATAAAATCTTCCTTTGAGAAAAGGCAGGAAAAGGTAATTCAGAAATTTTAGTAGAGCTTTCTGCCGAAACTTTGATCCAATGGCAGGTAAGAGAACCAAAATAAATACTTTTAGAGGTTCCCTTTAATTGGAAAGTTTCAGAACAAATTTAGAAAACAATGTAAAAATGAAATATTATAGAAAAGGCAAATTATATTGCATGTTTAGAAAACAAAAAATACTTGAAATAATTCATATTTTGTTCTGTAATTTGATTTCCCTTGTGATTTATCAAGTATGTCTACTTTTAGTTTTTAAAGTTTTAGGAAATTTTCTCTTCCAGATGAGTGAAAAGATTAAATCTCTTGAAGAGGAATTGTTGAAGGAAAAACCTTGGCAGCTTAAAGGAGAAATAACAGGACAAAAACGACCTGAAAATAGTCTTTTAGAGGAAACTGTATTCTTTGACCATGCTGTCCGAATGGGTAAATATTGCCATTGTGTTAAATCTCAGGTGTTATAAAATTGTTTACCAGGCAGAGTTGGCATGTGATTGCTGTATATTATATTGTTATTTCATAACTTTTGATGAATACTGCACAGGCCAATGTATGGCATTAATATTGTTCTTTTCTTGCTCTTTTAGCTCCTGTGATCACAGAAGAAACCACGCTTCAGCTTGAAGATATCATCAAACAGAGGATAAAAGATCAGGTTAATAAGATTTAAGTTGACCCTTTAAAGCCAAAAATCTGTAAACAAATTTTGATGCTTTATAGTGTAGTTATAGAATTGGCCTTTGGGTGCCACAAGTAATTAATTCAAAGAATGAGTTTGGGGGCTTTAAAATGTGTTCAGTATAGTTTTGTTTCTTGAATGTTTCTAGAAAAAATACAATAACTGGTTTTAGGTCCTGCAAAATGCTGAGTGCACTCCATGAATCTAATTTTGCATGCTGTTGGGAGTCGTAATGCATTTCAAACTATCTTAAGATAAGCAACTGAAATTGCAGAGACTGCTTGTAGATTTAGCTACAGAAGGGCTACTTTGGCATTTGATTTGTATGCAAACTCTGCAGCGTTTACAAAATTGATACAATGAGGGCTTTGCAAACTTCTAATTTTAAACATTTCAGAATATTGACCAGAAGGAGTGTTGCTGTGCGTAATCTGTATGACAAGTATTTTTAAAATGTTACTTCTTGGCTGTTAATTTATACAACTGAAGGAACAAGGCAGATCAGTGCAAAGGGGGGAAAAAAAGGCTGTGCTTCATCCTAGTGTATCTTCTCTCTATGTGTTGGAAGGGCAGATTTTTGGGGAGGGGGCTAAATATGTGTGAGACCCCCTCTGATGTGTCAGCTATCACTTGTACAGTTGTAACAAAGTAAATAAAGGTACCTCACATAGCATAATAAATTGCCTTTGCTGAGGTTCAAGAAGATATGTTGGAACAGCAGGTGTTTATACTTGCTAATGCAAAAAAAGAGATGTCTTGTGTTAAGTATTTTATGGTTTTGGCTCAGGCATGGGATGATGTAGTGCGTAAAGAAAAACCAAAAGAGGAGGCCTTTGAATACAAGAAGCGTCTCACTTTGGATCACGAAAAGAGCAAATTGAGTCTTGCTGAAATCTATGAACAAGAGTACTTGAAATTTAATCAGGTAAGTTTATGATAATGGATATAAACAATGATATTGCTGTTCTTGGAAAGAGGTAAATCAAACTCACAACCATTTATACAGATGTACTGAGTGTGCGGTATTGAAGGCACCCTCTGTCTATGTACTAATCTGTAAAATGGGTGCAAATGATATATCTCAGTGTTCTTAGTTTCAAAGTTGGTGTTAATGTTATTTATTTGAAAGATGTCTTTTTGAGTGATCTTGGTAATAACACTCTGTCATTATTAACCTAGCAAAAGGTTGAAGAGGAGGAAGATCCCGAACATATAGAAATTCAGAAAATGATGGACTCTCTGTTTGTACAGCTGGATGCTCTTTCCAATTTCCACTTCACACCCAAGCCAGTGAGTACAAGTGTCACCTTTTTCCTAAACTCCATCCCCTTTGACTAAGTGCAAGGATATATCTGGTGTATCTTGTGCTTGTTACGCATTTCACAGTGTGAATGAAAATATATTTTGTGGGCCTTACTCAGTTAGCCCTGTTTTGCTAAGATATGATATGCATGTTCATGAATGCTATTTCTTTATTTCTAGCCTGCGCCAGAGATTAAAATTGTCTCAAACCTTCCTGCTATAAGTATGGAGGAAGTAGCACCAGTTGCTGTTAGTGATGCAGCTCTCCTAGCTCCAGAGGAGATCAAGGTAGGAAACTTTGTGTAAATTGTTCTGTATGGTACATTCAAAAGGGAGAATTCATTGTCTGATATATTCCATAACATGCTGGGATCTTTTCCATAGAGACTTTAGACTGACTTAAGAATTTCAAATAATTGAAACTGAACAGTGGGAGGAGAGCTAGTTTTGCTTCTCTGGGTTTTACAGTCTTTCCCCATGCATCTTGGAACCCTGAGTTTACCTTCCAACATGGCTTATTCTGATTTTCGAGAATGAACCTATACGCCGGTTGCTTGAGTACCTTGTACTTTCTATTGTTAGAAATGCGTTTTACCATAACCTGCATTTCTCCATCTTTTAGCATTGTTAATCTGTGTTTTAATTTTCACTGTCTTGAGTTCTATATGTAGAAAGAAAGATAGAGGAGAATGGGGAAAAGTGAAATAGTTACACAGATGATAAAATTTGTAGAAACTTATTTCCCAAGGCTAGTATGAAGGAGTCCTGCTATTTGGGCCCTTTTGTTTTCAGGAACTTTGAGCTGGACACAATTGAGAGTGATGTTAAATACATCAGTAGGTGGGAGCTGAATTTTACTACTCTTGGCTAATTGATGCGATGTAATGAGGATAGCAATTTTGTTTGTACATGTCACGGCCTAGATCGTATTTATGGTGTCAGAGTTAAACCATTATGTCTTCCTCAGGAAAAGAACAAAGCGGGAGATGTAAAAACAGATTCAGAAAAAACCTCCACAGACAAAAAACGAGAACGAAGAAAGAAGAAGCTTCGTAAACGTATGAAGCTAAAGGAGAAGGAGAAACGGCAGAAAATCCTAGAAAAGACTAAACCAGAGCAAAACAAACTCAACAAAAAAGCTGCTGCAACAAAATTAAAAAAGCTAACCAAAGAAGGCAAAGCAAGTTTGCTAAAAGTAAGGCCATTCTGAAGAGCTGTCTTCCAATTTCAGTTGTGTACTGCTTTTAATTGGGTATTGTTTTCCGATCTCATCATAAAACAATCAGATTATTGCTGTCTTCCATGTTAAATTATGCTCTGAGTTCTTTGCACCATTTCACTGATGCAAAGCTGTCTTACATTCAGATAGTATAAACTACCATGGCTGCTCCTATACCACTAGCCTTCCTCTGCTTGGGGGTTGGGGTTATAGTATTCCTGTGTATTTCCAAACACCAGCTCTTGTATTAATTCTTTGGGATGAAAAGGGTATTCTGACCTGCTGGATTAGTGCAGCACAAATGAACCCTGCTAGTGGAAGAGCACAAAAGATACCTTTTTTCCCTTACTTTTTGCTTAACATTTAATTTGATGATCTAGGCCTAGGGGGTCAGTATTTATGTTCTTTCTTTTAAAAAGAAGAGGCTAAAATAAGAGTCTCTTTAAAATAAGACTGGTTGATTTAGTAATTGTGTAGTTATGCTACTGCATTAGAATGCTAGTTGTGTTGTTTATTATAATAAACCCTTTTTTCCATTGACAGGATGAAGGTAAAGACAAGGCCTTGAAATCATCCCAAGCTTTCTTTTCCCAATTACAAGATCAAGTCAAAGTGCAAATCAAAGATGCAAAGAAAATACAGAAAAAACAGAAGCAGCAGCAGGAAATCTCTGCTCATAAACTTAAATTATAATATATTTTATACATGCATCTTGTATATAATAAAACATTTCATTTTTTTAACATTGTGTTTTGAATAGTTCATATAGTATATAGAACATTAAAATATTCTATAAACACTATAGTGTTCTTCCTGGTGGTGAAAATGTGATAACCTGTTTAGTGCTTCTTAAGGCTTTTTGTTGTTACCCCTCTCTACTCTGGAATTCAGGGCTCATCCTCCAAAAGAAAAGCTATGGGCAATAAGTAAAAAGATATGTATTGTGATTTATTTATGTATGCTCAGTTCTTTATATGCATTTATCTTCAATATGTTCCCCCTTTTTTCCATATACCATGCTTACAGAAAAGGGTGGGATACAGGTTTTAATAATGTAGTAAAATGTTAGTTTTTGGCAATCTGAAAAGATTTGACCAGGATGGCTTGATGTTCAGAGCTGTTTGTGGCATAATACTTTCTAAGGCTGCTCTTCAAGAAATCAAGACTAAGTAGTATTATTTTATTGATCTCATTCATTCAGAATATTGTGCTGATGTGAGAGAACTTTGCCCTTGCAGATGCCACCGCCTCAAATTCTGTGGATTTAATGGAAGAAAACTTCCAGCAGTACATCTAGACTTGCATCTACTTATACTGAAAAAAAACATCTTTTGGCTTTAGCAATAGTTCTGAAGAACCACTGCTTCTGAAAGCATTTCAGTATTTAATATACTAGTATTTTAAAAATAATCTTCTCTAGAGTAAATATTAATGTGTGGGGGGGTTGTTTTTTTTATGGATTTTCTGTTTTTTGAGGGGTTTTTTTGCTTTTTTTTAAATTTTCAACCTATACCCTCTAAAGAAGTCCCCTAGCAAAGAACCAAATTCACACTTGCTGCTGTGCATTTCTAATGTGAACATGAAATGATCTATTTTATTTTTAAAAGCCCAAGTGAAGACTACCTTAGCTTGCTTAAAATCTAATATGTTCCTTATGAACCGGAGACCAATATTTTGGATTTTTTTTGAACGTTCAACAATTTGCAGTAGAGGTGCACCAATATACTGGTGCATATCATATCGGCACAGATAAAAAGAAAATTGATGTTGTTGGCAATCTGTTTTTTTTGGCTGATAACATTACCGATAAATGCTGGGTGCATGTGCACAGCTGCCACATGCACGGCTAGGAGTGTAGCCCAGCGACTTGGAGAGTAGTGTCTGGCTGGTAAGTCTAGGGAGAAGGGGTAGGAGAAGTGAAGGGATGCGGGGAGGGCATATTGTAGCTCCCCACAGGGAGGGAGTGGGGCAGGGGCAGGTGCTGCATTATGGGGGCGGGGCATGGGACATGAGAGGCTTGGCCAGAGGGGGGCAGGGGCAGGTGCTGCATTATGAGAGGCTTGGGGGTGGGCATGAGGCAGGCAGCTCCTGCTGCTGTGCGTATCCCCAGGGCAGGCATATGCCCCCTCGATCTGCACAGGGTGAGCTGCATACTCAGAGCTAGAGCTACTCCTGCCTCTTCTCAGCAGGGGCTGGGCCCAGGCTGCACTGAGGGTGGGCAGCAGCAGCACTGGGGGGGGGTGACAGCCACCCCAAAACTTGGTATAGCTCCCCTCCCAGCGCTGCTGCTGCCTCCCTGCCGGAGCTGAGCACAGCCTGGGCCCTGGCTCCGCACGCAGATCCTGGAGGTACATGGGGTGCATGAAGCCCCCCGATGAGCTGCCAGCTGCATCCCACCCCAGCTGTGCAGCATCTACCCCTGCTCCAGCCCTACTCCCTCCTTTACCATGGGGGCTTCAATCTGCCCCTCCCCCATGCCCTTTCACTCCCAGCAGACTTGCCAGCCAGACATTGCTGTCCAAGCTGCTGGGCTGTATATTGGCAATCGGATTGGTATTGACTGATATGGCTGGTCAATAATCTGCCATCAGTATCAGCCCAAAAAAGCTTTATTAATACACCCCTGGTTTGCAGCATTCCTTATAATCAGGGATCCTGGTTTTCCATTTCCCCTTTTTTATCAGAGAAAACTACGGGTTTCCCCTTTTTTTATCAGAGAAACCCACAGATTCCCTGCTTTAGCAAACAGCTCTGCAGGCTCTGTTGAGCTGTTTGCAGACAGGGTGGGAAACCCCCAGCCCTGCCTGGAGGCAGACCGGGAGGAGGAAGGATGGGACCTGAGGGTCTGTCAGCCACAACTGAGGTAAGTGGGGTTTCTGGGGGATGGGGGACCCTCTGGCAGGGTTGGGGGGGGTGCAGGTCACAGCTGGGGGGCACCTTCGGGGCTGTGGGGAGCCAGGAGCTGGCCCCACCACTGCCCCAGCCTGCAGCAGTAGTGGGGGAGCTGGCTCCATGCTGCTTCTGCTGCAGCTGCCTGCTGTTGGGGGCAGGGAGCTGCAGGCTTGGGTCCCTGTCCCCATAGCCCTGGCAGCTGGGGACCCCTCTGGCAGGGCTGGCACGGAGCAGGGGCTGTGGGTGGGGGTAAGAGGCACGAGTATGGCAGGGAGCTGTTGTGGGGGCAGTGAGGGGCACCAGCAGGGTTGGGATGGTTTTGTGGGCGAGTGAGGTGCAACAAGAATGCAGTTGCGGTGGGGTGTTCTTTTTGTATGTTAGGAGGTTACTGCTGGGTCTTTGGGTGGCTCTTTCAAATGTATAGTCTATTTCTCTACTGAGTGCCCTTGTATAAAGGCAGATTTTAGGTTGGGCAAGCGTTCTTAGGTTCACAAGCGTCCTTCTCAGGGCAGATATGGTGGTATTTTAGGGCCTAGCTATAGATAACAGCTTTTTTGGTGCACTTGAGATGATTACGCATCTTGTAGACATAGGTAGAGTAGTGTGTGGGTTTTCTGTATATAGCAGTTTGTAAGATGCCATCCTGGATATGGACAGTGGTATCTTGACAGTTGATGTTAGTGCAGGAATATTTGAAACAAAGTTTGAAGGATGATAATTGTTAAACCTGTAGTAGAGGTGAATGAGTCCAGGTGTTCAGCCTAAATAATGAAAATATCATATATATAATTCAACTGCAGATGCTCCTGTTACCTGAAGAAGGGGGTCATTAAAACCCCTTCCATTTTGGCTTGTTCAGACCCAGTATACTATAATCCTACTCTCTTTATCAGCAAGAAATCCCACCCCCAGTCTGTGTCTCACCCATTGACTCCTCAATCTACATCTTCACTGACTGCCTGTCTTGTATGGTTTCTTTACTTTTCATTCCATCCAGGAAGAGCACACACCAACTGCAGAAACTTCCTTAGCCTGATGAAGGGTTTTTGCTTAATAATTGTTTTATAATTGCTTAATAATTGTTTTCCAACTATTTAAGCTGGTCTAATAAAAGGTATCAGATTCACCTAAAGAACCTTGTCTCCCTAGAGTATCACATGTATCAGCATCCCACGCTGAAAAATTGTGGCAGAGGCACTTTAAAGCTCGTTGAACAAGCTTTAATTAAAATGCCCCCACTGCTATTTTCAGCATGGGGATGCCAATACATGTGATACTCCATGCACTTTAATTAGAGTGGTTCTTGGAGCTGCTCTGATGCGCTGTAATTATAGTCCATTGGAGCAGTCTTGCTGCATGTTTATAGACACTCTTTGTGGTCACCTATCACCTCACACTGGAACTGATCAAAATGATCCTCAAACTATGGCCTATACTCTACAAAGATCAGACCCTGAGAGAGAGATTCCCAGCCTCTCTGCTTCCAGCTTTCAAACAACCCGCTAATCTTACCCAGTTCATTATCGGAAGCAAATTTTCCACTGCCTAACAGACATCAAGTGGGACACAGCCTTGCATTGGCAAGAAATGCTTAACCTGCCAGTACATCTCTACTGCTACTATTGTCCACACCCCCTATAACAAAACCATCAAAATTCATGGTTTCTACACATGCCTTTCCCAGAACACGATACACCTGAACCAACACACCAAATGTTCTCATGGCAACCATACAGGTGAAACTAAACAACAGCTGTGCACCTGGATGTGCCCTCACAGGAAAAATATAATGGACAGACATGCACACATATTATAAAAGCACATTTCTCACAGAACAACCACACCCTCTCTGAGCTCACTAGCCTCACACTCAAGGGAAATCTAATACCTATAAAATGTGACCTTGGGAACAAACATTTGTCAGATGGCTGGAAGAACAAAGAACTAAACACTGATACTGATTTTATGGCATATTATATTTTACTTGACTCCTAAATTCTTTCTAAACACGAAAGGTGAGAATGTTTCTGGTCCCTTACAATAGGTCTTGATCTCCCACTAATTGGCTTTTCTTTTGCCAATTGTGTGTCTGCTACCCAGACTTTTTCTCCCTCCCTCCCACTACTGTTCTTTACTCTGCTTGCCTGGCCCATTCTGATCAGACCTCAGGAAGAATGTCTTTCTAAAGCTTGTCTAACTTTATCCCAATTACATAGTTGGTCCAATAAAAGTTATTACCCTAAGAAATCCTTGCCTTGCATAATTTCTGGACCATGACAGCTACATTACTCGTACACTACTTAAATTAGTGCCATAATCGTCTATTCAATTCACCTGTAATTCAACTGACTGGAAAATCAGTCTGGTTAAACTGGCAAATGCAGACTCTTTGTGTAAACTGGCTTAAGTCTTCAACTGATTTAGGATGTGACAAGCTAAATTTATACAAGGAAGAGTTGACCAGTTTAATTATGTCAGTATAGAAATCAATGTAAAATCCTGCAATTTTCTGTTTAGTGTATACAATGTATAAAGGAGGTTAAACTCTAGTCTAGGCAATGAAGATTATTATCCAAACCATCCATTCCCCCTTTGGGAGTTGAAGCTGCAATTATCCCTTCAAGAGTCCCTCAAGAAACTGCCTCATTCTAAGTAATTCCATCAGATGTACAATAACATTCATTTAACCAATGAAAATATGCGTAATAAGAGTCTCAGATAAACAGATTAATAAGGAATTAAATATTTTTATTGAATGACTCCAAATATATTGTCATCTACAAATGGGCAAAACCAGTCACACAGGCTACTTAAACTAGCCACTCCATAAAACGTGACTTGGGAAGGGCGCTTGGGTACTGTCATTAATCCAAGTTCTAAAAGTCTTAGTGCAGTAACAGAGGGGCATTCATTCCTTCAGCGTGAAGGGTCCGTAAGTCACGGAGCTGCACCAGACCACGCTGGTACATGGGCACCGGCCTTGAGCAGTGCCTAGAATTTCATGTCAAGAGTCTGGACTTGTAACGGGTCATAAATACATTTCACATATTGCAGGAAAAAACAGCAGAAATGGGTGCTAGGCAACTTGCCAGAGAAGTAATTTGAGAGGAGGGAGGAGGAGGAGGAGATCATGACCCGTTTCAGAACTTTCTTTGCTGAAGAGTTTTGAACTTGCTAAATAGTTTTTAATCTGTAACGTATACATCCTGGTAAACTGTTATTCTTTCAGCTGTTTTGGAAACCTCTTTTTTCCGTCTGTGAAATTTTGGTGGATTTGTACGTACGGATCCTGCTCCGCGGCCTTCCTTTCACACTCCGCACGACTTGGGAATGGGAATTGCCTCACCCGCCGCGACGCCTCCTGGGGCTCCTTCCCCGGACGTGGGCTCGACCTCTCCGCGCTCGACTTGTCACGCCTGGATGGACTGAGGCCGCCTGGGGGCGGTGCTGCCCCCGTTGCACCCAGGCCGGGCAGTGACGTAGAGCCGAACGCTGGGGGCCCGGCCTCTTGAGTCGTGCCGGGAGAATGATGTCACGGCGCGGTGGCTTTGCGTCACCACCTCGCAGAGCATCTCCGGCCCCGTGAGAGGTACCGGGAGAGGGGGATGGGCCGGCGGGGCAGGTCCGAGCGCTACCAGAGCTCTGCTCGGAGCTTCCCCCCGCTGTCCCTGCAAGTGGCACGCGGCTTCAAGTGCCCGTGTGAACGCCTGCCGCTGGCCCGGATCGGGCCCACTGCCCCCCTCCGCCCGCGCTCTGCAGCACCCCGGATCCCTGCTCACTTCTTTGTGCGGGCCGGGGCGCTGGTCCGGGGGAGGGGTGACTGCCTGCCCCCGGGCCAGGCGGGCAGGTTAACCCTTCCCCACGTGCTCCCGGCGCGGACAGTGCGGGGGAGGGGGGAGACCCGGGAAAGCCTGGGACAGGCAGGGGAGCCTTACCTTTCAGTCTCCAGGCCCCTGGCGGCCTGACGTGTTTGCTCCGAACTCCACTAGCGCCCACCAGCACTTCACCACCTGGCCTGTGCCAGGGCTCTGCCACCCGAGGCAACTTGTGTCATCCTTGCATTGTGCCCCTTCAGTGACACCTTGCACACTCTTAGGCTAAAAATACATGTCACTGAGTGAAGCAGATTGGTGCAGCTGATCCACTTCACCAGGTGAAACACGGTTGTCCCTTGTTCCACCCTTGCTGGTGCAGGATGGGGGCCATGTGATCTCCCCGCTCACCCAGACCCTGGCTATAGGTCTAGCAGAGTGGGGAAAGCGGGGCTTTATCCACCCGGCTGGACCCGCTTCTCTGCAGTTGTGGAGGAGCAAGTCTGGGTGGCAGGGGAAAGCCCCACTTCCCCTTCCCGGGGTCTGGCTGGGTGGGTGAAGAGTCCTTGCCCCACCCAGCCACAGCCAGGCACGGGTCTGAGCAAGGAAACACCACAGAGGTAAAAGGCAAAGTCTGTTGCCACCTTTTGTTATGCCACTGGTTTTCCTTTCATATGGTGGACAACTCTTATTGCTGTCTATTTGCTCAGTGTTTGTGCCGCTCCAGAAAGTTTTATGGCAGCACGATGAGACGTTGAGCATCTTTTTCCAGGGGGGCTGCCACTTTCCTTTGTTTATCATGTGCAAGATGCACAGAACAAGAGGAGAAGGATAAAAAGGTGCTGTATATGCACAAACTGGCAAGGGTAATAATATCTGAATTCTTTCAGAGTCTAATTTTAAAAAATGGGTTGTCTTTAAAATAGAAAACCCCTTTAAATGATCTCAGTAATTGACAGAAATGTACATAGCATGCTTAAGGCTTGGAGCGAAGACTGAAAGGGGCAAGTGTGTAGGATAAATAACTTGTAAGCCTTATGGTGGTATTTACTGTATTCTGTATTTTAGATGCTACCAGCACCCAGGCAAAACAGCATGATGTGTAGCCAGGGACTGCATGTTGTGTAGGTTTTGAAAGCATGGTTAATAGCACTCATCAATATATTTGTGTTTGTGGATACTCAAAGTTTGCCCCAGATTTTAAGTTTGCATAAACAAGGTAACATAACAATTTCATGGTCAAAACCAGAAATGTTTGTTTCCCTATTAAAAAATAAATATCAACCTTCTTAAATAAGCACCTCCCAGTAACTTCTGACTAAAAACAAACTGAAAGTAACTTAATTGATATACAGTTTCATATAAATAGAAAAAAATCTGGATCTCACCCTGAAATACTTAGGTATGCATCAAAATAAATTGTACTACTCAGGGTAGTAGTGTTAAGTACATTTATAAGTCGTATGGTTAGGGACAGAAGTTACACATAAACTAGTCTAAGTGTTTAGAAATTGTTTAACAGAACACACATTCAGTGCACATAAGCTTGTTTCAAAATGGTCAAAACTGGTTTGAGATAAATCTGGTTGAATGTAATATCAGACTTAACTGATTGAGCTCAAACTGCCTTATGAAACTTGTGTCCCGGACCCTTTTTTGATTTAAGTTAAACCAGAGTCCCCCAGCATCCCAGCATGCTCTGCAGCCCTACGTGGGCCTGTGCTCTCTGATCCAGACAGCAGGGCTGGCTCTGGCCCTCTGCTGCCTAGCAAAGCAGGGGTGGGCAGAGGCGTGGCCAGACACCCGCCTCCCTAAGGCAGGGAAGACTTTTATTCTCCGCTCCCTCCCCTGTCCCACCAGCATGCACCTGCCAGGCATTTCTCTGCTTGCTGCTCCAGCGGTGGGGGCATGGCCAGCCCTGCAGTAGCTTCAAGTGAACTGGCCAGGGAGGAGGTTTAATTCCCCCCTTCCCTGTCCCACTGGCACTGACCTGAGCTGCGGTCTGCCTGGCACTCCCCCCTTGCTGCTGCAACGGCAGGGACCACCAGCTGTGGTCCTCCAGGGACAGAGGTGGTGGAGGGGGGAAATAAACCCTCTCCTTGCCCCCTCTGCCTCAGGGGGCCATGCCAGCCAGTCTCTGTCCATGCCTCCTCCCTGGAGCAGTGAGGGGCGAGCACCATATGGACCCGGGCTTGGGTCTGTGCTGGTGAGACAGGGAGGGGGGAATTAAACTGGCGAGTTCACTTGAGGCTACTGCTGGGGTTGGTCAAGACTCCCAGCACAGCTTCTGGCAGCCAAGGGCATGTTCTAGTGCCCCCTGGCTTCATGCCTGAGCCACTGCAGGCATATGCCTGCTTAATGTCTGTTCAGTTGCAAATTGGTTCAATTTAGGCAGGTAAGGCTAACCTGCAAAGATTGAATCAATTCAGGCTTTGGCTTTTTGAATGCCTGTCCTCACCTATAGAACTAAGGTGTGAAACAGTGATAAGTGCATTATAAAAGTGCTTTGTCTTGTAGTAAGTAACCTTTGCACTAGCAATATGGGTTCAGAAACTTGTTTGTTTATAGTATACAATTTTTTTAACGGACTTATGCCTCATTTTTCCCCCCAAGTGTAAAGCAGGAATGATATCCATCTTTAATAAGTGTTTTAGAATTCTTTGTTAATAAAGAATACACTACTCATATAGTTCTGTAGTGAAGAAACTATAACGCTCAAATTTTGCTGCTCCTTTCTAAAATATTAGCATGAGCTGGTTCTGTATTAGGGGATCTCAGGTAGCTTCTCTATTTCAGCAGTGTCTTTCTTCCTGGGGTGTCTGTCTTCTCGCTGTAAAGCTTTTTTCAAATTTTGTGATGGGAAGGTTTTCTGGCATCTGAATTGCTCAGAATGGAGTTTGATATCAAAGCATGGCTCTTAGTGAAGTCTAAGTGTGTGGCCATGCTCTTTCCGCAGCAGTATTTAGGATGCTTGGTGAATTGTGGTCCTAAGTTAAGCACCAGATCCTGTACTAGTTGTTGTTCCCTGACACACAAGGGGTGTAAGAAGTCTTCTGCAACTGAATTTTCATCAGGTACAAGCCTGAAAATGGAGTTGGCAGCAGAAAAGTTAAGTTGAGGATCCAGATAGGTGCTCAGTGGGAGTTAAAAGTGCTCATTTTTAAGATTTGGCACAGAATTGGACTGTAGTTTCCTGACAGATTTGGGTCAGAGTGTGGGCACTCTGAGTCTAGGTACAATTAGTCTTGAGTGCTAGCTCAGGAAGAGTTCTATGTCTAGTTTGACTGCTAAACACACCGGCCAAATTGGTCAACATGCCCTGTGCTGTCAGCTACCATGCATACAGGAATGACGATAGCACAGTGCAGCAGGCTGGGACATCATTAGTTGTTCCAGATCTGTACAGATGCATGGAAGTTTTCAGTTACTTTCTTGTCTTCATTATTTACATTAGTGATTTCTGGTGTTTATTAGATCTTCTGTTCAGTAGGCTCAGAATTGTTCCTAACCTTTATATTTTTCTTGCAGGCATGGTAGAGGCAATGGGCAGATAATATGGAGCCAAGAAAGGTCCTGGTTTTTAGGATTTCACATAAGAAAATATCCCCCAAATGAAGCAGCTCATGCTTTTAATTCCACAATGTCAGAAGCTGGATCTCCAGAAGAAAAAAGACCCCGAAGAAGCTTGTCCCTGAGTAAAAACAGAAAAAAGAATGCAAACAAGAACAATTATACAGAAAATAAAGGAGTACCAGCTGTACCTTCCAGTTCTTCCATCCTTTCATTTTTTAGCAATACACCTCCCACCAAATTCACATGCCCCATTTGTGGGCTGGTGGTTTCACGATATGAGATCAACAAGCATATAGATGAAATGTGCCCAAAGAATCAGGGTAATAATGGAGAGACTCTGGTAGATTCACCATGTAGTAGTTCTGCCAGTGACACTAATTCCAGCCCATACTTTGCAAAGAACACCTCAACTCCAGAGCAAAAGACAAGTCCATGCGAAAGTAACTCATTGGAAATGAAAGAAACTGTAGAACAGAAGACCAGTCCCTACTTTAAGAAAAGCAGTGATTCAGCATGCAATGTTCATAATGAGGCAAGGGTTCAAACAGTTAAAATGATCTCTTTGGGAAAGTTGTCATCCAAATTATCTAGAAGGCACCGTATCCAAGAAGGAAAACTAACAGTTCAGAGTGAGGGGAATTCTTTGCTGCAAGCAGTTCATGAAGTGTGTGACAACTCTGCAGAATTGGGCAGTGAAAAGACTTGTTTTGGGGATGGCTCTCAGAAAGAGAATCAGTTTGTTTTGATGGGGCCCGGGGACCTGCACATTCTGAAAGACAGTTTAACAAAAGAGCCTGAAATTCAGGGGGAAACACATCTGTGTGGTAAAGAGATATCCAGGGATGGCCTTGTGGCTTCTGCTCAGGTGTTAGCACTGTCAGGTAGTATTAATACTAGAGACCTAACATTTGTTGCAGGGAATACTAAGGAAAACAGTTGTTCTGAAGGCATGGTGTCAAGTCACGACAAACCTGCACTACATTCAGTCAGTCAAGGAGAGTTGTGCAATGGTTCAGAAGCTGAAATGCAGTCCTTTACTAAGACTGTGCCTTCATCTGGTACCCAAGTGATATGTGACAACCATACGCAGAATTGCCCAGAGAAGGGTGATATGACTGTACTTCCTATGGAAGTTCATGAAGGCATGAGGAATGAGATGTTTTATACTGCTCTTTCAGAGCCTTTGGAAGAGGTGGATTTTCAGGGTCCTTCTAGTGGCATTTTAGACAAAATAAGTGGACTCAGTTCCACATCTGATTCTTCTGACCACCCATATTATCTCCAGAACTTCCTGATGGTCCTGCGAGCAGTCCTAGAGAATGATGATGATCTGAGACTTTTTGATGAGCGAGACACCAAAATTATCACTGCATTCTACCAGTTGTCAGGTATCTTTTACTTTATCTGTGTTCATATTGAGCATCCACCAGGGTCTTTGTTTTTGCTACCATTTTTGCATGGTATGTGCTCAGATATTCATGCAATGAGCGGTACATCAAACCCAAAGACATGAGTACCATTAGAGGATCAGCCCTTTTCTTCAGCATCAAAAAGCCCCTACTGGTTCACATTTAGATTTAAAAACCTATTCATAGAGATTTATACAGCAGTAAATAAGAAGTATTGTAAATAGGAATACCTTTTCATTTGACTACTATAAAATACTTGCAAGTGTTTTCTTGGAACTGATGAGAATATCATTTCTAAATCTTGTAAAAGTACAATGGAAAGATGAGTGACATGAATTTCCCTAGCCTTATTAGGCATGAGGATCATCCTTAGTGGAAGATTCCAGTTGACTTCAGTGGGAGCCATAATGAAGTCTAAACCTCTCCTGGTTTGTGGGTTAAATTGTAAATGCTTAGCTTTCTGTATTTGGAATGACTGGGCAGGATGAAGGCAACTGAGGACTACATGTGAGAGACCAGTTTTGTCTTGTGGGATGTCCTGTTTTTCTGTCTACCTGGAATGAAATCTCATTCTCTTAAGCTCTATAATAGTATTTGTGGGCAGCTCCAAGGAATCCAACACAATTGCAGTTGTCTACAATGACCAGAAGAACTATCTCTTGGGAAAATAGAGAACTACAGCAAGGTATTCCCGTTTAGACAAAGGTTACAGCTCACTATTACAACTAGCGGTGACATGGACACCAGTACCTCCTTTTTAACCTGAGCTTTGAAGTGGAAGAAATACCCTTTGCTCCCCATGGATTTTTCTGTTTCTGTTCTCCCTTAAGAAAGATGCACAAAGGCTGCTGTCACCTAAATTAGTCAGCAGGTTGGCACTGTGGTGCTCAGAGCCCACAAAAGCTAGGTGCCTGCATATTTTCAGGCTCCAGTTAAATTGTACGACATTCTCAATGTGCACATTAGGGTCATGTGCAGGTTCACTATATGCTCATGCCACCCCAGTTTGCACATCTGAGCTGAGCAACCCAGAGTGTCAGCAGTTACATATATACCTGATTGAAAATCAGTGCTGGGAAACATTAAACTGGCTGCACCAATTACTGTGTCTCATTAAATCAATTTGGATTAAATAATAAGACTGCATGCTTCATTATAATGCCAAAGGAGGATACTTCCTCTAGTGGGGTTTCTGCAGATTCTGTTCTTTTGTATTGTTGTTGATAGAGAATCATTCACTTTCATTTTCTTTTGTGCTAGTTCAAACTCCGGTGTGGTTTTCTCTTCCTTTTCAAATTAAAGTACAAGAAAGCTGGCTGCATAAATACTATTAATGAACTTGGACTGCAAAGCCGTTAGTTCTTTGTCCTTTTAAATATATATTTTTGGAAGTTCTTTTAAACTGCAGGAGCACCTACAAAGGAGACATCTGGTAAGATCTAGGTCAGGAGTTCTCAACCTTTTTAGATTCAATACACCCCTTGTTAGACTCGAGGCATTCCTCTTAGCTTTCACACATTTCTTGACTATGGGAAAATGATAGAGCAAATCTTCTGTTGTAAAGAACTCAGAAAGACCACAATGGCTCACAGTGTTTTTGACACTATGGATTTCTGTTTACAGTCTGTGGGTTTATCTTGTGACCCCTGTGTGGGTGCTTGAGCACCTCACAGAGCTAATGTTTTGAGGCACTGTGACAGGATGGGGGGCCTTTGGTTGGCCATGGCATCCCCTAGTGGCCACTCTGATCTTGCCCTACTTCAGCTCCTCTGCATACCCCCTCACAGTCTTTCCTACCATGCCTTGATGGAAATATTGTATTGTAGTGGAAGGCTGCTCTGGAGTGATCTTACTGATGTTACGCTAACTTGTACTTATCCTGAGTCAGATCCTAGTCCACCACCAAAACCTATCACAAGCCCTGCCCATGTGGATCAAGTACCACTTGCATTTTCAGCTATGTCCTTCCAGCCCTCTAGAGTACTTAGGTGCTAGCAGGTGCATCTCCTGCAGCCTCCCTCCCTGGGAGCTCCTCTCCCTGCAAGAGTGCAGGGCCAGGCTGCCTGCTCCTGCTCAGAAGCTGAGCTTGTATCCCTCTTGGCACCTCCCCTTCTGGTCACATGGCTCCTCCACCATGCACAGGTGTGTTCTCTTAGTTCATATAAGCCACCTGCTCCTGCTGTCCTTCTGTTACCTGGCTGCTCTGTCTACTATAGGTCACTTTCAGTGTAGCTGTTCTTTTCCTTGTAAAGTGATAGGGACTGAGATGAGCTAAGTGACAGGCTTAACAGAATCTCACATCACCCCAGGGTGCCACAGCATCCTGGTTGAGACTCACTGATCTAGACTTTTAGGATAGGGATCTATTTACACTTTCATTGAGCATTCTTCTAAACATCTTGGGCATTTTTACACATGGAAGCGCCACAGCACTGGGTGCTTTGAAAAGCACCTGGCACTCTGGCGCTTGCAGTTGTATAAGTGGCAAAATGAGCATCAGCACCAAGAAAATGGCAGTGGCATGCTTTTGAGCTAAAACACATACAAGGTGCCTTAGTTCAAAAGTGGACCGCCACCATTTTCTGTGCGCTGACATGCATTTCACCACTTATACAACTGCATACAGCGCAGTGTGGTGCACGTCAGCTCACGTGCAGAGCAGATTCAGTTAATCGAGTCTGCTCCAAAACGGCAAATCTCCAGTGCCTCATGGGTCAAAAAGTTATGTGTATAAATGTCCCTTAGGTTGATGCCAAGATTAGTGCAGGAGTTGTTTTGTTTTCTTTGATGTCATTAGGCGCATTGCCCCCAGCTGGGTGAGGAATACAAAGATGGCAGTTTCTTCTTGTTTGGATGCATAGTCTTCTGGCTTTAGTTTACATCTATGTGGGCATATCTACATGTGTGCTTTAATCCACACTAACCTATTTTAATGCGCATTAAAACATCACTTAAAAACCGTGCTATTTAGTTAATGTGCATTAAAATAGGCTAATGCGCATTAAATGTTACTTAAAAACCATGCGTTTTAGTTAATGAGCATTAAGACAAGCTAATGCACATTTTCTGAATCCCTCATCTTGGAGGGTGCCTCTACATGAGCAGAGAGGCTGCTTTGACGTGCTGTGACTACAGTGCGTTGGAGCAGACTCGCTTAATGGAATCTGCTGGAGCGTGGTCATTACTGCAGTCCAGCAGCCTCCTGTGTCTTGTGTATCAGTGTCCCTGCACTTAAAAATGGTAGTGGGGTGCTTGAACTAAAGCTTGTTGAATGACCTTTAGTTCAAGTGCCCCCCTTGCCGTTTTTGAGCACAGGGATGCTGATACATGAGACACTGCAGTGCTTTAATGGAACAGCTCTCGAAGCCACTCTAATTAAAGCACCCCACCCCTGGAGTGCTTGTAAAAGTTCTGCGAAGTACTAGATTTAATGTGCATTAACTAAAGCACATCAATGCACATGTAGATGTGCCCACATAGGTGTTAGGTTCGTTCCTTATTTAAAGATAAGACTTGGGTTCTTTAGAGAAGACTTGGGTTCCTAATGGAATATGCTTCAATAATTGGGTGCAATAAGTAACACTATATAATATTTAAAAGCCTTCATAATTATATAGAGAATAGACATGGAGACACGTTACTGCAACATACTACCTGAAAACTCACCTTGTACGTGAAGTGTCTATATAGTGCTGACATGGGTCTTTTTAACAGTTTATCTGTGTTGTGTTGTAAAAATGTAGCAACAAATAGAAGGGAATGGGATGTAAGCAGTAAAACTCTGTCACGAGTTGTCAGTAAGATGATGAGGGGCCCATTAGGTTAGTTATAATTAAGGTCCTGGAATCAGCTCCCAGGTTAAATTGTAGTAGTTTGGTTTGTTAGCAAATGGTGGGAGACTTCTGATCTTTTGCAGCCTCATCTTGTACAATCTAAATATATTTTTCCCCAGTGGCTCAGAGAACACAGAAGTTTTATCGCAAAGCCATGCTGTTAAACCATTGTCGATGACGAGGCTATATCATAGTACAGAAAAAACCAGCTCCAGTGCAATCAGCTGACTTTCAACTTGCCAGTATATGATTATGATCCTGGGCAACCCCTGCACTGGAAAGTAGGAGAGTGCAGTTGGGATTTAATTTCCAATCCCCAAATTACACCTCCTGCCACACGCACGTGGCATGGCAGGAGATGTGATTGTTGGGACTGGGGATCAGATCCCATTGCACATTTAACGGAACATATGCCAGAGGCCTCAGTGACTGTGCCATATTTGGGTCCAGCTGGCATTGTGAGTTACCACATTACTGTTTCAACAAAATTGTATTTTGGACAACAAGTTTTTCTTGTCTCCTCATGTACTGCTGTCAGTTAAGCTACTTGCAATAGTAGGTATACTCCAGACTTTAATTAGTTTCTGTTATAATGCATACACAAAATCTGTAGCAGTGAAATTTGTTAGTACAAGGCAATGGAATGCTTTATAGGAGTATTGTTCCACTTCAGCAATAAGAAAAAAAATACGCTGCTAGAAATCTAGCTTATTATGTGAGCTACTGTATCTGCAGCCCTTATCATACAGGAGAATGAAATTTTCCTAAAGACAACACTCTTTTTGAAGTAATCTTTTCTTCTCCTCACCCCATTTCTGAACTTTCTGAGCTTTCTGTTGCAGTGGAGGCAAAAAAAAAAGTATTCTTTAAGGACAAGCTTGTATACTACATATGAGTTTTCCCACTGTACATACCCATCATCAAGCAGTTCCTGTAGCATTGTTAAGCTGAGCAACTGAAAATATATGGGTTATTTTCAAGTTTAAAAACTCACCAGCAATTAATGTAAAGATTCATTTGCCAGTATATGGCCTACTTCAGGTGGTAATCTTGACAACGATGTTTTCTTAATTCCATTTAAAAAAAAATTGAAATCCACATCCCTATTATAAAGATTAAAATACAAATCCGCTGTTTTGGTGACGCATCTTAACCCTGTATGTCAGGGATGTCACGCTCATCTGTGTCTAGGGGCTGGATGATTGGGTGTGGAGTCAGTCCATGAGCTGGATGAATGGCATGGGGCTGTCCCTGCAGGCCAGACTGGGCCCACATATCCTCTCTCCCTTCCCCACCTGGCATGCCAGATCCAGCACATGCTGCATCCACTTTGGCTGGTCTGGGGACATGTTGCATGAGGCATCTATCCATGTGCACAGCTGGTCTAGTGCATGCTGTGTGCAAAGTGTGGGTCAGCTCCAGATTCAGGAGCAGGCCAGGTGATGGAGCTCAGCCTGTGGGCCATGTCTTGGACACCCCTGCCATGTGATGCCATTCTGACCTGTAATGAGCACCTAAATGGCATACATCGTTCCTGGAGAAATACATGTTCATACAGCCATCAGTGCTGTTAGCTCACAGAAAGCCTGCAAAGACCACATGATTGATGTTTGTACTTTGTTAAAAAAGGAATGGAAAATAATCACCATGCAATCATTTTTAAGGTTTTGCATCTTTCCCTCATCATGTTTTCACTGAAAGCAGAATTATTCGTTTCAACTACGTATCTGAGAGAGGTAGTCAACCGTGTTAATCTGAAGTCAGGGAGAAGGCAGAGCAGGGTGGCATCTTAAAGCATCTGAAGAACTAGGCTGTCATATACAAAAAGTTATGCCTCCAAATGAATTGGTCTCTAAGGGCACTTTTACATGTGCTCAGGGCAGGGGGTGCTTTAATTAGAGTGGTTCCAGAGCCGTTCTAATTAAAGTGCTGTAGTGTCTTGTGTATTAACGTCTCTGCACTTCAAAATGGCGGCGGGGGTACTTGAACTGAAGCTCGTTTGCCAAGCTTTAGTTCATGTGCCCTTGCTGCGATTTTGAAGTGTGGGGATGCTAATACACGGGATGCGGAGGCACTGTAATTACAGTGAGTCAGAGCAGCCCTGCAGCATGTCTACAGGCACTCCTAGCTTATGCCTAATTATACATATGAACTAGCTTTCATGCAAGTTAATTCCTTTCAGGTTAACAATAGCAAAAAGGTGATATTCTCCAGACCTTGATGCTTGGGTATTAAGTAAATTGTTAGCACAGGACTTTTTATGCTGTATTCTGTTTTTCAAGTCCCCTTGAGATAAAACTGTCTTTCTACTGCAACTGTTGAATTGCAGGCTTAGTTTTGGCGGTTTCTGTGGGGGGATGGGGGATGCTGCTATGCAAGTCATTAATCTCCTGTGTCTTTCTTCCTCGTGAACAGCCAGTGATACTTCAAAGAAACTGTAACCCCACTGGGAAAATGACAAGCTGAGCTGTTTGGAATATAGTTCTAGTGGATTGATGCTTGAAATCTCCTTTGAAGGGTGTGGTTATCCTGGAACACAAAAGTCAGTTTACAGCCAAAAGGAAATTTTTAATAAGAATGTAAAAAGTCATCTGCCATTTTCTAAGTACATCTGGAGATGGGAGTGCTTAAATGTAAATGTCGCCTTTTATTATTGATCAGTGATAGACGAGCAGGAGCAGACAGGGATAAACAAGCTAGTAATTCATCAGGCATTGGAGAATTATACACTTGCACAAGGATGCTGAAAGTAGACACACTGTAAATCCACCTGCCAGACTACCTTCATATGAGATTATTAATGACTTAGGTTATTTCTGGGCCACATTTTGTAAGAGCCTCCTTCAAAAATGTTTACAGCTGTTTTAAATTACACTATGAAGTATTAAAACCAAAAGTTGATCGTCTAGTTTACTTTTTACCGTTTATGTTGTTGGCTTAATTTTTGCATTTCTCATGAACTAATCTGTCCCGTTGTTTTTGCTACAGTATTAGATTCTGCAAACGTACACGCTAATAACTGTATGCATATGAGGAGTTCCAGCATGGGGTTGCTGGTGTAAACAATTACCCCTCCTTGTAAATGTTTGCAGAATCAGGTTCGTATATGTATGATCATTTGAAATGGGACATGTTAGCAGAACATCATGTGCGTCAATGGTACTGTGTAGGTGATAGTTGTTGATATTCTCTCCTTTCATTTGTTTGGGTCTTTCACGTAGCACCAGAGAATTTTTGGGGTATTATTTGTATTAAAAAATTGTACTAGAAAGCCAGAAATAATGAAATGTGGTGCCTGAAACTGCTTTTAATGATGAGATTTCTAATTGATGGTGTTTTTCAAGTGTTACTTCACCCTAGAGAAGAGTAACTTGCCTACTTTGAAATCTTTATAACTGTAACCAGTAACAAGCTATCGGATTCACGTAACTTTTCATATCTTTCATCAAAGAACAATGTTAGATGCCTCACGTGGTATCATGATTCTTCCTTGGAAATCTTTTGGTTCCAGAGACAAGTAAATGGATTTCAGTACAACATGTTTTCTGTTGGACACAGGTCTTGCTCCAGTAGTTTTCATGCTGAAAAAGAAGTGAGCCCTTTTCACTTTGCCCAAACATTTGAAATGTAAGAAAAACTCAGTAGCTCTAAGCTTTGAAATCTAGTTGAAGATGCATCACAAATGTAGAACTTGCAGTACATCCAGAATTTGCAGGTAGAGTTTTAAAGAAAAGAAAAGAATATTCCTTATGTGAAGTCTGATCCCAACACTAATTGAAGACAGTGGGAATCTTTACACTAATTTCAGTAGGCTTTTGATAGTCTGCTTTGCTAATCCCATCTTGGTTAACAAAGTCACTAGAAAACTAGATTGGGTTTGAATGGACAGAAAGAGGTGCAATTTTTTTTGTCAGAGAGCAGTGTAGTTCTGCTTTGAAAAGTACCTGTAAAAAAGGCACATTCTCTTCCCCAAAATACCTGGGGGTCTGGGACATTTTATCTGGTTACTTTAGATGGTTCACCGCACCCCACAAGCAGAAGACAGACATTGTGTCCCACTTCGGGCCAACTGCCCTTGCCCAGCTCCTCCCTGCTCCTGGTGTGCTGGAGCAGCCAAGGCACAAATGGAGGAGTGGTGATTCTCTGGCCAGCAGACAGAGTGTCTTCCTGGAGGACCAAGCCTCTGTTTTGGCACATGCTATTGTACCGTGCGCCACACTGCTTTATTCCCCAGGGGTTTTTGGTTTTTTTGCTACTGGGAAATTCCAGTAGCAAATTTTGCCCCCACCCTGGAAATGTGCAGCCTAGGGCATGTTTTAACGGGCCGCACATGCAGTTTGTGGCGCCACAAAGAAGTTTGTGATGCCACAAACTGCACATGCTTGCATGTGGGGATGCAGCCCTGAGGTCAACACTGGGGACACATTTTGTCTCCCAGTAGCCCCACTGAAGTCAAGGTACATCACATCACATCCACTGCTTTTCCCCCATTCACTAGGTTACCTGGTCATAGAAGGAAATCAGGTTGGCCAGGCATGACGTGTTCCTAATAAATCCATGCTATCCTCTAAAAGTGGATAGAGATTGACTCCTTGACTGCACAGGCAAAATCCATTTTTAGTACCTGTTCTCTCACTTACAAATGTCTAGGATTCTCATGAAACAAGAGTTGTTTGAAAATACCCAATCTGTTACATTACTAGTTCAACTTGTAAAAACATACTAGCACTGTCTAAGTTCTTCTAGCAGAGAAACTCTATCAGACTATTTTTTGTAGCTATAAATATAATTAACTGTTTAGGCTTAAATGATTTTTTCTCTTCCTTGCTTTAAATGCAATTTGCAGCTGCTGGACAGAAATTATATGTCAGACTTTTTCAACGCAAACTGAATTGGATAAAAATTAATAAAATAGAGTATGCAGAGATCAGCACAGATTTGCGGCCAGTAATTGAAGAACTGGTTGAAGGAGGCTTTCTGCAAACAGGTATGGCCAGTATGAATAAATGAAAAATGGCAATGTTGGCATGTTGGTAGCATTAAATTCTCCTTTGCCATGGCTGCTTCCAGTCTGTGTTGTAAAGTTGTCACTTAGGAGTGAAGTCGAGGAGGAGACTAATTAAACAATTCTCTCAGATTGGCAGCATGTTCCATTAACTTAATAAGTGGTACAAATCAGTTTGTAGGGAAATGTTTTAAGGTGAGCAGACTGGATATCAGTCATTAAGAGAGGATCAAAGTTTGTTTAGGTTTGTTTGAACTTCAAATGTGATTCAAATTTAAGTGGACTACTTATGTACTTCATTTGTGGATTTTCTGCTTGTACATTAGTAATTACATCCTTATGTAGGTGACCACTTATGAATCAGAACATTTAATTTCCATATTACATCAAATACATTTCAAAGTTAGTTTGGAAAGTTTAAATTGCCAGACTATTTCATATGCATGCCAGACTTTCTACTACTAGCTAGAAGCCTGTCTATACTTTAAGCTGCCATATCCAACATTTTAAATGTGCAGGGTTTTTTCTGTATATCTGCAGAGTCTACATTAGAAGACCTTTCTGAGGGGCTGGACTTGCTTTCTGCTCCTGAGCTAAAAACATTAGCAAAGACCTTTCACCTGCCAAACCCAAATGCTCAGAAACAACAGCTGTTGGAGGATTTTGACAGACTGGCAAAACAGCGTTCAATCTTCAGCAGGAGTCAGGCTGGCATTGGGGTAGTGATTTTGAAAAGGTATCATATCATTTAAGCTTTTTATATAAAAACCTTTAGTTAACCTTGCAGGTGCATGAAAATATATCACAGAAGACCCATGAGTTTAGATGAATTTTGAATGTACCGTGAATTAACGAAAAAAGAAATGTTGCATTAAGGTTGTATTAATAACATTTTAGTAACAGTTTTAATTCTTGGCTCAGAAAAAAGGACAAACACAGAGCCAGGTTTTTAATCCATCTTTCTCTTCTTTTCAGTCATGGACTAAGGTGACTATGCTTTATTTGTTGGCTAAAAGTTCAGTTGCTATATTTTGATATTCAAGGACAAAACCAAATTATGGCTTACAGCAGTGGTTCTCAACCATTTTAGACTCTAGGGAGCTCTTAGAAATTGCCAGCTCCTTGCTTTTACTCATTTTTTGACTATGGAAAAATAATAGACCAATTATTTTTCAAACAATTCAGAACACAACAGAATGATGTCTCAAAATGGTTTTGACACTGGATTCTTACATGAAATCACAGGGTTTATCTTGTGAATCATGTGTAGATGTTCGCACAACCAATAGTGCTAATAACGAGCAGAACCCCATGGCATTATGGGGTACTGCACATCTTTATTGAGAATCACTCGCTTTCAGTAATATGGACAATTTCCAAGTTCCATTTGATTATTTTACCTTAGTTTGTTTGACTGTTAAAGGTAATTAGATGCCTTACATGGGAGCAATAAGGTAAGTTCTATGGATTCAACATCACAGATCTGGATTTGTATACTGGAATATGCTCCTTATAGTTGTGACTAAAAGTGAGATTATTTGAGCATTGCAAATATGATTTAGCCTATCACAAAGAGTATGCTGTTAACTAGCTTCTGGGCCAGTACTATGTACTTACTGAAAAAGCTTATAATGAAACAGCCTCCAAAATAGTCTGAAGCCAAATATCCTCCAAAATACACGTTTATCTGGGTGCATAAAACAGCAAGTCCCTGGGCAGGGGAAAAGGCTTTTCCCATGTCTTGGCTGTGAAAATAACCAGATGGTTCTGGTTTACTGGCCTGGACTGGTCTGCTTACTAACTTTCTGGAGGAACTGCGACCCTTTTCTTCAGGATGATCGATTTTGTGGACACTGGCCGCTTTTCTGTAGAAAGAAGACGGGAAGGATCATTCGCTTATGCAGGCACTTGCTTCCATGTCCTGCTGGTTTCCATGATCAGGAAGCGTTTTGTGTGTGCCAGCTGTTTTAGAGCTATATATAATTATTTTTAGCTTGTACAGTCTGGCATATACTGTTCCACTCCTATTAAATATATTTTACTGGCACTGGAAGAGTAGCCAGCCTTTGGGTTTGGCAGTATTTCACTTCATTTGGCTTGCAGGAGATCAGATGAAATATCAGGACCACCATGAAGGCCATGGTGCTTTCATGACTCTTAAATATTGGCTACTGGGACTGGTTTTGATGATAAAATATCTTTGGCTTCAGGAGATACAGTTTTCTCATATCTAATTAAATTTTCAAGTATTTCTGTATGAAAATAGTTGCTTCCCATGAGATTTTAATTTTGCTCTTTGATATTAGATACTTGAACTGCATGGTAATTCTGAACAGGAGGTTTATTATGGTTTTTATTTCCATAATTTGCATAAATATCAGTGCTTAAATGAACTAAATATCAGTGTTTAAATGAACTGGAGTTAGGAATGCAGAATCTAATAAATACAAAGAAAAGCTAAAAAAATGTTTTCTCAATTGTTCTATAAAATGAAGTTTGCTCAGCCTTTGAGTATGTTTTAATGGAACATTGTAAGACTTAATTAAATCATATTCTAATAGATGCAGTAAATATGTAGAAAGACATGAATTGTCCTCAGTATACTATTTGTAGTTTTCTGTTCCTCTGGCTGGTTATGTTGTGTTTTGCACTGTCACTAGCCTACCCAGAGCTATATCAGTTGTGGTATAAGATACTTCTTTAATATTTCTGATAGTTTAAGATCACAGCTTTCTCCAATCTGAAGCACGGGTGCCACAAATATAATGGGAAGCCTCTGTGAATGGCACAGAGCAGACTGGAGTGGGAACAGGCAGCACAGTAGCAGGTAGCAGAAAGCAGAGCATTGGATTGGGTAATGGAAACGGATAGAACTGACACTTTGGGAGGGTGTGGTGTTAATTTGTGGCATGCCTACTAAAAAGGTTGGTCCCCACTGGTCTAACCAGTGCTCTGGAGTCACTGAACATCAGGATGAGCTTCTCTACATATACTCAACACTGACATCCCAAAGAGTATTGCATGAAATTCAGGATCTCTGCTCAACTGCTTAGTGATATGGGTCCAAACTTCCAAAAAAGTCACCGGTCCCTAATACATTTCTGGTGGCCTCTGCTATTTTGGCACAGCCCAGTTGTCTCTCCCACTGGTGAAACTTGACTTTGTAGAAGACTAAGTTCCTCAGAGTAGCTACAGAGCTGTAGAATAAATTCCTGCAGGATTAAAGAACTACCTCAGACATCACTTTCTAAGTGCACTTCTTAGCCCTGTCTTAACTAACGTAAAGGGCACTGTTTAATAAATATTTATTTCCCTCCCTAGTGAGAGGAAAAAGAAAAGAACTGCATGTGACAAATGCTGATTGTGCTGCTTAATCCATTACTGGAGGAGGGTTAGTAACTATGGTGATAGGTGTGATATAAGTGTGACAGGGTGCCAGGGGTGACCATGAAGCCCCTGGAGTCACTTCAGCCCTCACTTTTTGGGCAATCACCCCTTCAGTCACCCACCATACCTTGATATCTTTTACTTTTATATAAGGGAGGCTGCCCCTGGGCTTCCCAAACTGCTCTCTCAAATGACCACCAGGTGCCATGGTCACTGCCTTATGGGCTAATTGCATAGCTCCGTTCCGACCCTACACCATGCCCCATGCCTTGCAGGTGGCATTCTCATTGAAGTTGTCTTCCACTTAGTCCTTCCTCTGGGGTTCCTGGACCCTTGCTGGTCCCACACTCTCAGCCCCTCAGTCTGGACTATGGACTCCTTCCTGGGTCCCTAGGAACCTCCTCCTCCTCTTAGTTCCTCCCCAGACCACCAGACTGCTTTAGGTGTTATCCTCCATGTTGACCTGGAGCTGCAGCCATGCTGCCAAGGCGGTGTTCTGTCAGCAGGCTCCAGGCTGTTACTGTTGGCTCATCTCAGGGCCTGGGCTTATATCCTCCCTGAGCCCAACCCGCCTCCTGAGTCAGATGACTACAGTCAGTCCAGGCCACACCTGCAGGCCACTTCAGCCCCAACCTGGCTATTCTTAAAGTGGCAGGAGCACCAAGGCACCTGCCATTTGGAAGTATGAATTAACCCACAAAGATTAAGAAATCTATAGGCTTATTCTAGCAAGGTTTGTGAGCTTTGAGACTAGCAATTAGCCCTTGAGCTTGTTTCTGCCCAATCCTAAAAGACATGCTTGGATGGGAAAAAATCTTCTTGAAGGGCAAACCTGCCCTAAATAGCATTGCTATCTAGGGCCAGGAAGTTTCCCTGGAAGGTGAAGGAAAGGTAATGGGGCTACTTCTTTCTCTCTGGGTATTCTAAGTGCCTTGTAACAGCCAGTGTCAGCTTGTTTGAAGCACCATGGAAGTTGGGGGTGACAAAACCTGCCAGCCAAATAGCATATTTACCCAAGTCCAAGGTGACTTCAAATTAAGATTACCCTCTAGTAATTAGACTCTCTGCATGGAAAATATGTATCTGACCCCCTAGTGCCTGTCATTCTCCCCCGCCAGCACCTGCCTCTCCACCACCTGAATAAGAAAGTCCATTCTGACCTTGAAGTTGTGATGTTCTAGGGGGTAAATATTTATTTAGAAAATGTTTCAAACTCTTTATTCAGATTGTTCCTCTATAAACTTTGTTAAAAAGAAATTTAGCAGAATTGCTAAAATACAATTCAGGGCTTGTGTATTTCAGAAGAATGACTAAACTGTCCTGGACTGCTGTTCTGATAGGTGGGAATGTCAAATCGTATACTATTTAAAACATTTGATTGAAGTTTAACCACTATTATGTAATAGGCATAGTTATACGGGATATTTGAGAACTGCATCTTAAATTTGAGGCTGAATTTCCAGGTCTTAATCAACTAAATACAAGCCCCAAATCATGTTTAAATACACTATTTAAATGTAGGTACAGTAATAATTTCATTTATTCTAAATCTCCCATCAGAGAATCTGAAAACACTTGGCAAATATTACTGAATTAAATCTTGCAAATTTATTGGGAAGTAAAAGGACATCTTTTCAAATGCGGCTTGAATTTTCAGGTGATTTCAGTTCTGAGAGTTCCACTTTTGATACCTGGGGTGTGACTCCTAGCTTGTCAAAGACCACACAGTGTGCATGTCTACACATTCATTAATACACCTTAGAGACTGGACATTTAATTTAGTACTTTATTAAGTACTAACTGAATACACAGTAACTAGAGTTACTGTGCAGTAGCACCAGCACTTAGTTATTTTGTGACACTTACTGTGCATTAGCCTAATAACATTGTGCAATAGGCTATTAGCACGGTTTTTAACTGCCACGCTACTGCGCAGCGTTATTAGGCTAATACGCAATAAGTGTCTCATGTAGACGTGCCTAGTATGTCTTTGACAGAGTGGGGTGAGAGAGCCTAGCTTTTGTAGATCACGTATCAGGTTATTCATTTTGAACTTTCTGAAAGTTTATTGTGCATCTGAAACTAGATTTTGAATGGTTTGGAACTCGCATTTTGTCAGAGATCCCATGTACCATGTCGTTTTTTTAAGTTTCTTCCCATTGTAACAGAAATCAAGTTGTATAATAGTTAGCTTGAGGGCAGGTATACTATCATTTTGTATTTTATTCAATATATTTGAATTACTGAATATTTTTTTTAGATAAAAACTACTTAGATTAATATTTTGCTTGGCTTCTAGGGCCAAAAACCTTGCTGGGAAGTGTGTAAAAGTCTGTAGAGGCCCCCGGGCTGTATTCTCTCGAATTCTGCTGCTATTTTCATTGACTGATTCAATGGACGATGAGGAAGCTGCTAGTGGTGGCCAAGGCCAGCTTTCCACGGTGCTTATGGCAAACATGGGCCATACAGTGTTCCCCAGCTACACTGTAAATAGGAAAACAGCAATTTTCCAGGACAGAGAAGATCTCATCAGGTATGAAGAACATTGGCTATCTGGAAATTGATTTATGTGGTGATAATATATGTGACCTAGTCATGATCCCCATGTTTTGTTTCTATGTTAGCATATTTTCCTGTACAGTTACCAATAACTTATAGGGAAAACTAAAGATTTATCACAGATCAGGTGCAGGCACCCATGTGAATTTCTGTGATTTCTTATCATAGACTGTAGTGAAAATCCAGCCAGGACTTGTAACATAATGTACAAGGGTTCTATTTTGAACCAAGACAGCATATCTCTGCCTCATGATCATCTACCAGTGGAAGGTGACCACTGAATTGCCACATCTATTGTTAGAGTGAAGTTTGGAGCAATGAGAAAATGAGATGTTTTAACCGTAGAAAACATTTTAAATGTAAGGGACTCCCAGTGCAAACTGCACTGGCTTCAGAGAATTACGCTAAGAATAGACTTGGGCCCCAGATTTTGCTGCTGGGGGACAGAGGTGTGAAAGAGAACAGATGACACTACAGAATAAATGAGTTATTTTAACTACAAACTCTTCATACTGGATATTTATACAGTTTTTAAAATTTAATTTTGCTAGGTATACAACAGCTGCTCACATGTCAAACAATATAGCCACTGCAATGGCTAATGGGAATTGGACAGAAGCTAATCATCTCTACATGTGTGCAAAAGAAACGTGGCATGGAATGAAAAATCTCACTTCTCTCAGGTATTAAATCAGAATGTGCATCAAATTCATATACAGTTAATGAGTTCATGATCTCACTTCTAGTGCGGTTCCTTTTAAAAAGGCTTGTGTTCCTGTAGTCAAAGCCAAGCCTGTTAAATTTAGCAGCTTCAGTGTTCTTGAAAGCTTTGAACTTCCTGCTTTGTTTGTTTTAGCCTTTAAATGGTGTAAAGTGGAGAGAGGTTTTCGTATAAAAGCCCAGAGTGAATTGGTAGGCAGAGAGAGAGCCCTGAAATGACTCTCTATTCTACATGCCAAAATGCAGGAGAACAAGAATCTATTTTTCCCTTGTCATAGTTTGTTTTTATGGCTCCCAGGCAAACAGCAATCGGCAGAATTTAAAATTCACACACAACAAAGGAATGTTGCAAAGGTTATGGGAAAACATAGTAGGTTATTCATCTGTTGGAACTTCCAAGTGGGTGTTATTCAGGAAGCATTACTAAAGATCTTGAGAACTGAACTGCCGTGTTTTGTTGCTGAAGTGTCCTTCATCAGTTTTCATTTTAATTATTTTGTCTGCTAGCTTCATGATACGCTGAAAATCAAAGCTCTGTACTTGGCACCACATTCATTGTCATGGCAACTGATTTAAAATAATATTCATGGAGGGTCATTTAGGGGCCCAGTCTTTCTACCAGTGAAGTCAATGGCAAAACTTCCTTTGATTTCAGTGAAACTAGTGCCATGTCCTGGAATACATTCTGTCAAATATAGCTGTATTTTATTCAAGGATATAAGCCAACTATTAGTGTAGGAAATGGCTCTTTTAGCCATTGGCTCTTTTGTCCATCTTTTTGTCCACTGGCTGACCTTGTGACTTTGAAAAAAACTCCTTTAGGTAAAATAAACATGCTAGAACTAATTTTTGTGGTAGCTGACAGCAGAGCAGTAGTTTCATTGGCACCGAGCCAAAGGAATTGGACATAAAAGATTTAATGTTAAGCCATTTCATCAGCAGTCTCAATTCAGCCATCTATTTTTTTAGTGCTGGACCTTGTAACCCCTTAGTCTTCTTTCTCATGCAATATTTGGGATGTGTGTTGTCTTTATATAGGTTCTCAACTGTCTGTGCTTTATATGAAAGATTGAATGTTTTGAGTACCTGGCCATGTTAAAGTGATCTCTGTTTTTCTTTTAGGTACCATAAAGTCCTACCTGAGTACCTGCGACATTTTACTGTTGGATGGGTATATACCAGAATCCTTTCTCGAGGGGTTGAAATTTTGCAGAGACTTCACATGTATGAGGTAAAGACAGAGGTGGATTTTAGTTGCTAACAGCTCTTTAATGAAATTACTGTAGGCAAGTTTCAAATATAAAACCCCATTTTCCTTGGTTGACTTTCAATAATCTGAAGCTGCACAATGGTTAACCCACTAGAGGCATAGCTTATGGGAATTTTGTAGGAGAGGTTGATTTTGCATTGAATTGTTGAGATCAAATTGTTCACTTGGGTTTGCTGCAGCTTTACCAAAAGGCAACTGGTGAAGGGAAAAAATGCTATTTTTCTTGCTGCTCTAAGAGGTGTAAAGGAGGACCAAGGTTTTTTCTCCAGTTCCTTTTGCATACGAAGCAACAGGTTTTGAATTTCTTCTTGTAGCCTTAGACTCTGGAGGGCTGAAGAACCAGTGGGGTTATGGTATGGCAAGGTTGGAAACTAAAGGACTCTTACTAGACTAAGTTTTCTTCTACTTAGTGAATTTTGTTAAATTTTGTCATACCAGAGGTCTCTGCCAGGGAACACATGGACATACAATCAATATAGGACATTAAAGTGAAAAAGGCCTCTTTTTGGTGAAGGACCAGAAAGAACCAAATAACCCTATCAAAAAATTCTTTACTTGTCCACAGGAGTGTCTGTATGCTCTTAACAGCTATGGCATCAGTGTAGATTATATAGACGTGCTCAAGGGCAAGGTGGTCTGAATGCATACTGAGAGTTGGAATAATTTTTTTGAAAAAAGGTACTTGGAAGGGTAAATTAGAGCACTGTGGGAAATGTAACTGGCTTAATTACGTAACAAAACTTCAGCTTGTTTCCTGAGTTATCTAATGGAAGAGTTTTGTGTTGCTGTAGGAAGCTGTGAAGGAACTGCAGAATCTTTTGTCCCAGGAAGTGTATTGTACCGACAGCAGAGGACGCTGGTGGGATCGACTGGCTCTGAATTTACACCAGCACTTGAAAGAAACCAAGAAGGTATCTCCTTAGTTGCATGATCTCTGTGCTAGCACGATGCTCAAACCGCTCTGTTTGTGCTCCTTTTTAATTGGCTGCATTTCTCTATCATTTAGGATAATGCCTTTGGCTCAGATACTCTAGAGTTATGAAAGACATCTTCCTTCCTCAGGATACTTTTGTGTGTGGTGGGCTGATGGGTGAGCCTTTGTGGAGTAGGGCTTCCTTGTTGGATCCTCAAGAAGAGGATGTTTCTGCAAAAATCCCTGACCCTGTAATGAAGCAAAAGGAGCTGGGAAGGATATTTCTTTTATACAGGTTCCTCAGGCAGGCAGCTGGGACCCTAGAATCTTTATTCAGATTGTTCGTGATGAGAAAACAGAAGGTAGTTTGGGAGCCTGATTTCTATGTTCTGAGCCTCTTAAGTGCTGCTTTCACTCACTAGAGGTGTCATGGCAGGGTTGTCGATAGGGGTGCACCAATAAAGATTTTTTGGGCCAATACCGATGGCTGATTATTGCCCAGCCATATTGACTGATACCAACTGCTGATATGCAGCCTGGCAGCATGGAGATCAGCATCCAGCTGGTAAGTCTGTTGGGGAGAAAAGGTGGGGGGGAGGGAAGGGGCATAATGGGGGGACAGATCAAGGCCCCTGCAGTGAGGGAGG